ATGGAAATTTACAGCAGTTAATTCCTGTATCAAAAAAACAGGTCAAGCTCAAATAACCTAGTGTTGAACCTCAGCCTTCTAGAAGAAGAAGAGGAAGTCAAGCCCAAAATTCATACAAGGGAGGAAATTATGAAGATCAGAAATTAATGCAGTGAGGCTGGGGATTTAGCCCAGTGGCACAGTGCTTGCTTAGCAAGTGCAAGGTTGTGAGTTTGATTCCTGGTACAGGAGAAAAAACAAACAAACAAAAATTAATGCAGTGAAGACTAAGAAAACAATACAAAGAATCAGACAAAGAGTTGGTTCTTTGGAAAGATTAAATAAAATTAACAAACCCTTATCCAATCTTGTCAAAAAAGGAAAGACTCAAATCCATGCAATTATAAATGAAGAGGGTGAAATCATAACAGATCCTGAAGAAATCCAGATCATCTCTACCTTCTTAGAGAACCTGTATTCTAATGAGATGGAAAACACAGAAATGGACAGATTCCTAGATACATATGAATTATCAAAGCTGATTCAAGAAGATATAAAAATCTTAAATAAACCAATATCAGTTGATGAAATTGAAGATATAATTAAAACCTGCCAACAAAGAAAAGCCCAGGCCCTGACGGATTCATTGCTAAATTCTACAAAAAATTTAGAGAAGACCTAATGCTGCTATTTCTGAAACTCTTTAATGAAATTGAAAGGTAAGTAATATTCCCAAATTCATTTCTGGAAGCAAGTACTACTTTGATACCAAAACCAGAGAAGGATCCAACCATAAAAGAGAAATATAGGCCAATCTCCCTAATGAATATATGTCATGGTTTGGGGTTTTTGCAAGGAGAACAATATTATACAGAATACATATTTTATAAGATTATTTATAATAGTCACCCAAAGAATCATATATACAAGAGAGTGCAAGAAATCTGTCCACACACTAAAGACCAAAGAATCCAGCTGAAGGCCTGGATCCTATGATAATGTCCTGCATGAGTTCAGCTGAAGACCTAGAGCCCATAACAATGCCTCCCATGAGTCCAGCTGGAGGCCTAGAGCCTATGACAATGTCTCATGCAGGCCTGTTTTACAGATCTGCACTGGGAAGGCCCAAAGGTCAGTGGTAGAATCTAGAAAGTCTGTGTTAGTGGGATGAAGGATCTGTGCTAGCAGGCTGAGGGATCCGCACTGGAGCAAGGAAGCGATGCTCAAAATAAGAACTAGAGCTCCCCCTGAAAAGTACCACAGCCATCCTTAGCAACGGTGAGGTCCTGAGCTCCCCTGATGATCAGGACAGCCAAGTTCCCATCAGGAAAGCCAACGCAACGATCTTCTCCAGGAGACTGAACAGTGCACCATCTTCCCCTCCAGAGCCAAGAAGAGGTGTTCAAAGTGAGGACCAGAGCTCCCCCAAAGTGAACCGAAGCTATTCTCAGTGCCAACAAGGTCCTGAGCTCCTCGGACAATGGGAACAGCTGAGTTCATCAGGAAAGCCAGCATGACAAGGTCCTCCAGCAGAATCAACAGCTCCTTTCAGCTTTTAACAGCTCCCAACAGCCTCAACAATTCTTCCTCTCCAGTTCTGCTTCTTATGCTGCTGGCAACAATCTTCAGGTGGGCCTAGCATCATGCTGATTCAGTTCAGCTGGGTGTTACAAGTTGACCACCAGTTATCAGTCCACCACAACATAGATACAAAAATCATCAGTAAGATACTGACAAACAAATGCAGCAAAGAAGATTATACACCATGACCAAGTAGGATTCATCCCAGGGATGCAGGGATGGTTCAATATACACAAATCAATAAATGTAATATATCATATTAACAGAGCCAAGGACAAAAACCACATGATCATTTCAATAGATGGAAGAAAAGCATTTGACAAAGTCCAACACCCATTCATGATTAAAAAAAAAAAAACCCTACAGAAATTGAAATAGTTGATCTTTATCTCAATCTGATGAAAACCATCTATGTGGGCTAGGGATACAACTCAGCAGCACAGGGTCTGCCTGTCAAGCATGAGGTCATGAGTTTGATTCCCAGTAAGGGAAAAAAAAAAAAAAAA